CCTGCACTTCGACCATAACAACCCCATGCAGCATTACAGGCTGGGGGAAGAGTGGTTAGAAAGTGGTCCAGCAGAAAAAGACCTGGGCGTGCTGGTCGACAGCCGGCTGAACATGAGCCAGCAGTAAGCCCAGGTGGCCAAGAAGGCCAATGGCATCCTGGCTTGTATCAGAAACAGTGTAGTCAGCAGTACCAGGGAAGTGATCATCCCCCTGTACTTGGCACTGATGAGGCCGCACCTCAAGTACTGTGTCTGGTTCTGGGTCCCTCACTACAAGAAAGACATTGAGGTGCTGGAGTGAGTCCAGAGAAGGGCAACAAAGGTGGTGAAGAGTCTTGAGGGTAAGTCTTATGAGGAGTGGCTGAGGGAGCTGGGGGTGTTTAGCCTGGAGAAGAGGAGGCTGAGGGGAGACCTTACCACTCTCTACAACTACCTGAAAGGAGGTTGTAGCGAGGTGGGGGTCGGTCTCTTCTCCCAGGCAACCAGTGACAGGACAAGAGCGCATAGCCTGAAACTGCACCAGGGGAAGTTCAGGATAGAGATTCGGAGGTATTTCTTCACAGAAAGGGTCGTTGGGCATTGGAGTGGGCTGCCCAGGGATGTGGTGGAGTCACCATCCCTGGAGGTGTTTAAGAAAAGACTGGATGTGGCACTTAGTGCCATGGTCTAGCTGACATGGTGGTGTTAGGGTAAAGGTTGGACTTGATCATCCCAGAGGTTTCTTCCAACCAAATCGATTCTGTGATTCTGTGATTCAGCCAGCTGCTCTAGAAACAAACTGTTGCTTAAGTTACAGGACATTACCAGACTCTTTCAAATTAGAGTAAGTTCACTACACATGGTAAGTGTATTTCAAAATGCATGCATTTTCAACCATTGTATCTTTCACTCCTCTATTAAGCTAAATTTTAATTTTTACTATTGATACCTCCTTTGCATCACATTCTCTTGCTGTTGAGGCTATGGATATGGATAACAATCAGCTTCTTTGAATTACATTCTCAAGACCCAACATTCAAAAAAGCACCATCCAAATAATCAGTTTGGATTCATGTCATTTGGCTTTAAAATTTTGCCATTATCCCAAACCCCATCCCAAAGATGCTAGAGCATTTGTACTCAAACCCACATGTTTTGTAGCATAAGTGCTGTAATGTACTGGTCTGATTTAAGGTATTATGCTCCTACTTAATTCAGTGGCAAGCTTCCCATTTCAGTGTATGAGAACTGGCCAGCTGATGATTACCAGTGGGATAAAAAGTATGTCTTTGTCTCCTTTCTGTACAAGACTAGCATGTGACAGAAGTGCTCTGCCAATGGAAAAGTCTGTCCAAGGTCAGCAGTTCTCTTGCCGAATGGCCACATCAGCCAGTAAGAAAATATTGCTGAAAACTACTTTAAGAAGCAAGTCATTCCGTACATAGCTCAGGACTGTACAGCCTATAGCCTTGTTTACATTTTATAGAGTCTAAAACTAATTGCAATACCTAGCTTTTGCTTCTAACTGTAAAAAAAAAAATAGAGTAAATATACAGACTGATGAATACACTATTAATAGTTACTAATAGCTATTAATTAGCAGTCCAAAACTGGACAGGAGGGCAGGGAGAAGAAAAGATTATGTTTGTGCTGTATGAAATTCATTCATTTAAAAAGAGGAGAACACTTAAAAAAAGAAAACATAAGCAGAAGAAAACAGAAACAATGTTGTTGAAGGTTTTTAAAGTATACAGAAATAAAATAGTATAGTATAGATGACTAGATGCACAAGAAATCTGTGATTTTGTAGTTTTTGTGAAAAGCTAGTTACATGAACAACCAGTTGAACAACCATTGAAATCGCCTGTCTCCTTTAATCTGAATATTTTGACTACCCAGATAATAACATATTCCAGAAGCACTAAAAGCTTCATATACCAGTCATGTTTTTTCTTTTAACAAATGCTTATTGTTTCCAAGTAGTAAGAACTTATAAATTTTATTTTGCAATCTCTCCAACTTCTGTGCAAAAAATGAAAGTGCAATACTTAAAATTAGTAAACCTTAATAAGCTACCATCATATTCAGCATCATTATTAGAACTATGCTTCTTATGAAGGTCATAGGTTTTGCAACAATGAGCAATAGATTACTACAAAAAAGTTTACAAAAGCAGTATGGAGAAGCTTTCAAATGTTTGGATGACTTTTAGCTGAGTTTGAAACTCTTTGGGTAAGAAACCTCACATTCTTGCCTGCTTTTTCCAGCACCTCCTGATTCTATAGGAATACTTCCTTGTGGAAACCCATTTTCCCGATTGCTTACTTGCTTAGTACTTTTGACAAAACACTGAAAAGGTGTGGAGCTTTCTAAAAATTGTTTAATGAAACCACGTGGAACTCAAGACAGTCTCCTGAACAGAGACAAGCAGGATAACCCAGATTCCCAGAAACATCTGCTGTCATCTTTTAAAAAAATTTTAGTGACCTTGAGCTAACTTATGATTTTATATTGAAGAAACCATAAAATGTGCGAAGTGAAAGGAAAACAAAAAGCAACTAACTTAATGTTCCTTGCAGCAAGAAGAATGTTGCCTACAAGCAGCTCCAACGGCTACAGCTGGACTCCAACAGAACAGAGATATGAGACTTCAGTTTTGCAAAGCACTCAACTACATGCTTAAAGGAATGGCTGCTGGGTTTTTCTTGTTGCTGCTGCAACGTAAGGATAAGTCTAAGATTATTTTTTAAAAAAAGAAGTTCAAGACTTCTGCTTATTACCATAAATACAAAGAAACCAGTAAATACCAGATGTGAGTTTTCAAGCTTCCCAGCTCTACCAGTATTATGTGCTCTGTAAAAATGTGCACGTCTAAATTTTGAATGCTGTTTTATCAGTGAGAAATTTGTGACCACCAATATGCCAAAAAAACAAGCATTCAATTACCGTTTCACTTGTCCAATAAATTGCTTGATAAACCTTTCTCTAGTTTCAGATTTCTGATCTGTTAGAACATGTTCATTCCTGTCCTGGTGCAACTCACCTGCCTCAATAAACCAAGTTTATTGTGTAATGGTGTAAGCAGAGAGGCCGGAGTCCTTCTAGCTGGAACTACAGCCTCAAGAATTCCTAACATGGGAGGGAGCTAGCAAATTTAGCAGACTAAATCCATACCAGCAGCTTTAAAATGAAACATATGAAATGGATTAAAAAAAAGAAAATGAAAGAAAAGATGATAGCATAAACCAAGAGCTCGGGGGATAAGGAGACAAGGAGTAGCATGGGAAAGAAAAACTTTGCCACTTTCCCATACATGCCAACAACCTGGTTATTTTTAAGCAAAAAATGTTACCCTATTTCTGTCCTGCCCATTCCAAAAATGTTCAAGTGTCTCAGGACATTTTAACATAGTTAAAGGAATTGTTCTGCCAGCTGTTTTCAGATGCTGGCATGTAAATCTGACAGAAAAATTACATTCAACTCCGTGATATTGTATATTAGTAACGTGGCTACTTTCACTGTCCTGCCAAGTAAGCTGTGTTCTCACCTATTTTCTACCAAATGTACAAGTACCTATGGAAGCTCTTTAGATGGAATTACTGGTTTATTTTATTATCAACAAGTTAGAGTTGATGGACACTATACAAAGTGTTCACATGAAAAAATGAATGCTAGTGTATATAGGCATATATAATGTATCAGAAATACATTTGGATAAAACCAGGACAAATTAGAACTGAAAAGATGACCCTACAGGAGGCCCAGAACATTTGGTTTTCTTGGACTCTGGGTAGCTTATTATTTCTTCACTTTTGAAGAGTCACTTTTTTGGTAAAATTATGGAGTTCACATTACAGTTCAGACTGTTCCCCAAAATAAACTCCCATCTCCAGGCAAATGTTTCTGTAGAACTAGTTACAGCTCCATCAGGAATTAAGGAGAAGAAAGCAGAAAAGAGGAGAGAAGCAATTCAATAATGAGCACTTTCCCTTCTTGTACTTGAGCAGTAGCTGAGATGCTTACCAGTCAGAGGTGAGATAAAGCAGCTGTCAAAGAAAAGTACTGGGATTTGAAACTTCCAGTACAGCTAGATAGTCCTAGTAATAATTACACCAAGCTAGCAAGAAAGGCCTCATGTAGCTCCATTTTTATTATTTGCTACGGTAATTTTTAAGATAGATCTAAGGATGGACTGACAGGTGAAAAGAAATTAAAAGGTGAGGAGCAGGTTTTACAAATCTTAACCGACTCATCCCTCTCCAGTCCACTCAGCAGAATTGGCTCCAAAACAGAAGCACAAATGTAGGCAAACTAACAGCTTTGTAACCTGGCAACATGAGAGGTTACAACATGACAGGTTCACAAATGCACAAAAGACAGACATAGATCTGCAGAAATTCCACATAGTCTCTAATTTGCAGCACACTAGACAGATCTAGAAATGCACCACAAGATGATATGATGTTAATATAAATATTCCAGGATCCTCTATGGTTTTGAATTAAGGACATTGTTCAGAATAAACAATTGTACAAATGACCTTGCATTCTGTGGCTACCACTTCAATATCATATTACCTCAATACAATTTTGATATACTTTCACTTTGAAAGAACTGAAATTTTTAGGCAATCAGAATATGCTCTTTTCTCCTCAAGCAGCCTTGATACACTTTACATAAATGAGCATGCCGCTTGGCTGGATTCTTGATCGCTCAGAGAAGGTTAACCATGTGGGAAGCATAATCACCACAGTGGAACCAACTAATAGAAAACACCGAAGCAAAGTCAAACGGACAGGGAAATAGATGGTAACAGGTCTATGGTGTTTGTCAAGTCAGAATTATAAACTGCCAGTTAGTTCTGATCAAAACGCCTGTTTAATGACTTTTTTCCCCCCTTCTCTTCTCCTCTCTTGTTCCTGACATCTACTTCACACTGCTTAGAAGGCCTTTCCTGGCAAAACCTCCACCCAGTTGCACTAGCCCACAAAGAATGCTTTATTCACTGAGATGCAACTTACCCAAATAGTTGTTGCTCTTTGACATCTCAGTAATGTTGATTTTAGTAGCTCCTTCAGGAATTTCCACTATCTTGTGGTAGCCAAGATTTGTTAGCGTGTGTTTGAAAACTCCAGACACGACCTTGCAAGCAGTGTTGTCCCCTCCACATATTCCACACTTGTCAATCACCTTGTCTGAACCCAGATAGTCGTCACAGCCAATGCTCTGCAAAATAAAATAAGATTTCTTTTTCCAAGTTCTTACATCTGCAGACTTTGGACATAACAACCGAGGACAGTATGACTTTCAGAGAACATTCAATCCTGAAAAGATTTTGTGAATTACCATTTCAGCAATTTCTTCCCTGTTCTTCTGTATTCAAAAGGGCAATAAAACCCAGAGGGTTCACAGACTTGGGGATTTCAAGTTAGCCGACAGGTTGTTACAGCCTGTTACCAAAAATACAAGAACACACTAAAGAACACTAATGCATTGATCACTGCTGATTACACCCTCTTTAAGAGAAAAGAATCTCTTAACAACATAGTTCCTGTAGCTGTTAGTCAGAATAAGAGGTGAAGAGCTATGATTTTGTTATGATCCAAAATAGGTTTTTTACAAAAGCAGAACTACTTTATACATAAAGTGACTTCTTAATCTCCTCTAAAATTGAGCACTGAACCTATTCTCACCAAAAGAGGTTTCTAAAAAGTCTTTATACCGTGTCTAGACAGTTACAGAAGTGATCCTCCTGTTCACCGAGTAGAAAATTCATCAACTCAGTAACACCCACTTGGACAGGATAGTTTTTTTTAAAAAAAAAAAAAAATTAAAATAACATAAATTAAAGGGCAGAAAAAATGTTAAAGGTTTGACACAAACCAGAAAACTTTCCAACTTACTGCACTTTAAAAGTGCACATACCATAGAGACTATCTCCTCTTTTACAGAAACATTTCTGTTCATTGATCTTGCTGTTTTGTATTTACAGACTTTAAATAACATTTGTGATGAACACTTATCATCTAGGCTATATTTATAGCTATAAGCTATATAGCCTATAGCTATATGATTAACTGGCACATGCAAAAAAGAACTTCTCATTCTTATTTAGATGAGAATGAAATATTACAGGAATCAGTAGAACAGAAGCCTATCACATATTTTATGAAATGTAGTAATTTGATGTAAAGTGTTCAAAATAAATGACAGAGTATTGTTCTATTATTTCGAATTGTCAAAAATATTTGCAAATTCTTGCAAAATTCTTGATGAAAAAAGGGTTAATTATTGTTTTATGGTCCTTCCTGGAAGCAAACATCCAAGCAAGAGGGGGAAGAAAAAGAATTTTTTGATACCACCAACTTACAACATAGGGAGTATCTTGAGCCTTGGCATCACTGTACTTCTTTCCTATTCCCAATATTAACGCTTGGCCCTTGCTGCAAAAAATGTTCTAAAACTGCAAGCCAGAGTCTGCTTAGTTCCAATATAAATATTTAACACCCAACATCTTTTTTATGACTCTCCAAGAAACACAGATAAAACCATCTAACTCATCGCTGCCAGGATCATATGGAGCTTGACAATGATACCTGTTTGTAGTCATGAAGCAAAAGAATGAAGATTCCCAAGCACTCCGTGTTTCATGATGGGATAACCTGATAACTAAAAATCTGTTCCACCCTATCAAATCTAGCGTGAGCAGATTGTTGCATGATTTCAAATAAATTTTGGATTCAAACAGAAACACTTGGTTTAACATCTTGCATTGCTTGGCAGAAATCTTAAATTCATGTAAGAGTTCAATTTTTGTGTTTTGCCTCAAAATGTATTTTATTACTAACAAAGTAATGCATTTGCTTAAACATAGGAATTACAAGTGCCACTATACCAAATCATACAACACGACTTCAGACCTGCTAAAACAATCTGAAAAATGTGAGTGATCTAAATTTAAGACAGCTGTGCCCAATGACTGATTAATCTCTGTACTAGTCCTCCTTGAAGGATATTTTGCTCAGAGTATTTATACTTCCTTCACTATATTTTTTTTTGGATGGAAACATAGTGGTACTTAGCATCAGCCTATGTTATGAAGTGACTTTCAGGAAATTTCCACTGCCAGCAAGTTGTTTTATGGAGAGAATCCTTTCAAGTATGAGGTGTTTTACAATATGAATTGCTAGCATAGATGTTTAATGGTGTTCCCCATCACTACTGAGTCCCACACAGGTTAATACAATTTTCTTCCTCTTAGCAAATAAAGGAGAATAGAGAAAAGTCTGTTTTATTCATCGAGGCCATAATGCAGAACTAGGGTGGATCAGTCTGAACAGAACTCCTCTTCACAGAAGAAACACATCCAATCAGTACAAATGAGATTCCTTTGTAGGGAATAAATATCAAACCTGTTTTAAACTCACATCATTCTTAGTCAAATGTTGACTAAGAATTCTCCCCATATAGGGTAAAAGAAGCCTGTGTCACAAAAAGTGCCTGTAATGTTTAAATGCTCTTTCACAGAAATGAATGAGAAAGGTACAAAGAAAGAATTACTGGAGACAAGAATCTAATAAGCCGAAATCAGCAACTGACAATGAGTAAAAACCCACAGACCACAAGTACATAAATAAGATACATAATAAGATAATAAATAACTAACCTAAGATAAATAAGAGAATAAATACCTTAAGTAGTAAGAGATAAATAAATGATATATATTACGCAGAGTGCCCTCATGCATTTTACATACCAACAGAACAGGTATTTAGCAACAAATTACAGTTTTACAAAGAAAAATTAAAAATCTTTACCGGGGCATCTACTGAAGCTTCCATGGAAATGATGTGCTTTAAAGATGAACACTGCCTAGGTTTCAGAAGAAGAGGCCAGTTATAACTCATATGCTCTAGAAAACCTTGACATTTGCTTAATACAGTTTAGACAGGGATATTAAAATGACTGTGTACTCTCTAATATTTCCATATCCAGCAAGGATATCACATAGCAAGCCTGTCCCCCACGTGTTCTATGGGAATCTCCCTTTCTAACTGTATAAAGCACAGAATTCTAGCACTGACAGGTCATGACATATTGGATCAGACACCTGTTACTGGTCCAGGACTCAGTACTTAGGATGTCCTGGGCCTTGGTCCAGAGTAATTTTGGGAAGATGAAAGAAACACCTTTCTCGCAAGCTGATTCTGTTTTCTTTTTGCTTTTAAACAGCTGCCTGAAGCTGTGCAAAGATTTGGAATGCTAGTCATCTTTGGAGAACTAGGCTGGTAAACAGAACTCTCCCAAATTAACCAAAAATGTAGAATCCATGCAACTGTACTGAACAGATAATTTAGCATTTTTTTCTTTGTTTGTTTGCTTGTTATGACTACAAATTTAAGAAGCACCACCTTGCTACTTGGCTAACATACATCCATATAAAAATATGAACCAACTTCTAACTTCTCTCAGGATGCAGTATTCATTACATTTAAGCACATGTATACATGGCAAACAAATCCCCTGATCACATTGCCTAATACATGGCAAACATAAATCCCCTGATCACATTGCCTAATACTCTGTGATACATCAGCAAGAAAAAATTGTGCTAAGGAAAGAAATGATACAAACTGGAATCCACTGTGAGTATTCCTTCCAATATTGCTGTAGGAACATGAATAAGTCTTAACTATGTCAATAGAGATAATGTTTTGCTACATAAGCAGATAGGTCTGAAATCTCAGGTAGTCTCCTCATACAACTCTGGAAGGTTTAGATGTAAAGTGGGTATCAAATACATTAACACCCAACTTAACAGCCTGGTACACTCTCACAATGGTGAAAGGCAGCCTCAGTCAATGAAGAATTCACAGTTGTTTTTCATCATGTAACACACATGATGGAATCTAAAAGCAGATGTCACTTTTTGAGCCACATCACACACAACATTCTTACTAGAAATGTAGAAATATTAGGATTGTGAATTCCAGGTGAATGAGAAGATGAAGGTAAATGCATTCCGTGCACCAAAAGGATTTTGGACAGCTCTTCCTTGGCTATCAATATGAGAAGGGCTAGAACACTTCTGTCCCTTACAACATTTTCTTTCAAGGTGTTGTTTCTTAGAAGAGGTACTTTTGACTTGCACTATCTATACATCTTCTGTATTGCTCAACTATTTTTGCAAAGTGGTTAAAGAAACTCTTTTAAGTTACAAGTTAGCATGAAAGGCACTATTCCAGAATTACAGTCAACTGTATCCCAAAATTAATTTAAATAAAAAACCTTGAGAGAAACAAGGGACAATCTGGATGAAATATTCAGTGGTGGACTTAATAGGGATTTAGGACTATGTATACAATAGAAGGGGGCTGCTGCCAGGCGCTTGAAAACATGTAAGTGCTGATCCTTGAAATGGAAACCAGACGTTACAATTCCGCTACTAAACGATTCTATTAAAAATTGCAATCTATGTGGTAAAGTGGCATAACTTGCTTCCATTGCTTTAGCTGCATTGTATTATCAGGTAGGAAAGCCACAGTTATGAGTTCTAGTATAGTAACACCATTAACTTCAAAAATTAGTTATATTGACAGGTATTTAGCTAAAAGTTGTTATACATAAGTAATTTGGAGTCTGGGCATCCATGGGGCTAGAAGGCAGAAGAATAAAATGTTTACTAGAAGTCATACTTTAGTATAAGTCAAAAATTCTAAGAAAAGGGTCAGGAACCGTTATGGATGTACCACAGCTGATCCAACTGCTAAAGAAATGCTAGGCAGGGTATGCAAGGGAGCAATCAAGCAAGGTGCATGGCCTAAAACACCACTAAAGAAGTTAAGTGGGTAGCAGAAGACTACCTGGGTGCTGGTGGGAGACCTGCTTTAACACTGTATATTATCAATAAATCCTATTTTTATTAGTTTTTATGAATTGCTGAGGCTACTGCTAAGTAAGTTTTATATGCTACTGTCCTATGAAACAGAGCTTCATGGCACCTATCATATATGCTGTTCTGCTTGAGCAATACTACATCTCCCCCAACTTGGTATCACTGATTTAGTCACCAAAAGATAGGTACTCTTTCATCTGCTCTGTGGAATAAATAGAAGTATTGAGTTTAACTCTTGGCATTGTGGGTGATTTCTGGGGGTTAACTACAATAGATGATGCCTTTACTTTTAAGTTACTGTTTCCCCTTTCCATGTTCTGAAAAACTTGGT